GAAGAGGGACACACTGCCGTGGTTCAGCAAGAGTTTATGTGCTCTCAGTCTTTCCTGAAGTTTCTATCTTGCAGACCCAGCGATTTCCTGTTTCCTTCTTGCTGGCCCTGATCTTCATAGAGATAGTGCCAAAGTGAGAAAGCACTGTCTTAGGGCCAGAGAGTAATTCCTCTAACTTGTAAGCAGTTAATTCCAGCTTCTGGCAAAGCAGCAGGCGCCTTAAATGGTCTCCTGTGAAGGTCCTAGGAGTCTGTTACATTGCATGTTATTTGTGAAGACAGAGACTGAAAAAAATTGTATCTAGATTGAACAGCGAGTTTAGAGTATTACATCATCAAAGCATTGTGAAAACTTCAGAGCAATCCCATGAAATAGACAGTAAATGCCTCCTATAGAGGCATTCGGGACATTTTTTTTCTCTGAGGTTTATTTGTTGGTGTTGATAGTTTTTTTAAAACTTTGGTATGTTCAGAGCTGCATGGATACAGTTTCGGCTCTGGAACCCTTAACTATGAAGGACATGAAATATGTCCTTCTACACACCTGGTAAAATAGAAAATCTTGTCTGTTTGAGAAGGGCTAGTTTTTGATTGCTCTCAGGTTTTGGCCTCTGTTCTCCTTGAAGGCACCCATATAGCTTTTGCTGCCCATAGTTATGCTGGAGCCAGCAGTTTTCCTCATTCAGTGCAGTACAGAAATGCCAAGGTTTTGTCAAGTGTCAAGTATTTTGCAAGTTGGGCTCACCGGGGAAGTCAGAGTGAGTTGAATAGGATCAGTTGCCTCTTGACTTTGTCTCCATTGAGTAATAAGCCTCTCACTAGGCACCTTGCACGACTTTGAGCAAAATCAGAGTGTCCTCTGATTTTACACCAGCTTTGCAGAAACTCAATTCGAAGAGGCATGGATACTATTCTGTTGATGTTGCAAAGCCCTTGCCCCTCAGTCTGTATTCAGAGATCCCTTACGGCTCCTCTCAGCATATTGCCTCACCTGTGCAGGGCCTGGGAGTCCTGCTGCTGTACCACTGAACTTGAGAGGGTTTTTTGGACAAAAAGGGGTCAGAGATTCCCCAGATAAGCTCAGAATTACATGAAGTTGTGCCTGCTTGACAGGAAATGATCCTAAGGTAGTTTTACAGCAGAAATTCACATTTTAGAGTTTTTAAAGATGCAATACACCCTATTTTTCTTCTTGTTAATAGCTTCAGGCAGTTCCTATAGACGAGAGCTGATCTCATTGTTTTTCTGTGCCATGTGAATATTTGCACTAGTAGTGACTTTGTTCATACTGCATGAAGTTCCATTTTTAAATGTGGTGTTTCTGCATGCATGGAAGAGGAAAAAAAAAAGGTAGAATATGCAGTGTTTTCAGATGTTATCTTGTGCATGATATTTTCAAACTTCATTACAGCATGTAATTTAGTCCTTTGACTGAACTAGGGGTTTGGTATAGGCCTCTAAAGCAAACCAGCTTGTGCTTGTATAGCTGAAGAAAATATTATAGAAAAGAAAGGAGGTACAAATTTTGAATAGGTGAATAAAGAACAATAAGCAGATATGTGGTCTACAGCTGTGCTTTACCTCACCACTGCTGGTCATTCCCAATATACATTCTCCAAGCCCATGTCTGCTAGACATGTATGGAAAGGCAGTGTTTTGGGGCTAGTTATGCAGTGTATGAAATGGGCTCCGATGAACACCTGCTCCCAAACAGCACATTTCTTCCGTTATGTGGCTTTAAGTGAAACCCAAAACCATAGTTAGTGTTTCTTGTATCTAATTTGCAAAATAGACTTACAGTCTATTACTGAATACTGGCCATATGCCATAAGAACTATGCATCCTTTGCAAAGAAAAATTAATATCAGAATTAACTCACTGGAGACTTTTTTCCTCCCCTCACTCCCTGGAGTTACAAAGCTTAGGCAAATTGGCACTATGGTGCTATTGGATCTGTATTGCAGAGAAAATTCTCGCACAAGATTTATACAAGTTTCGAAAATGCAATGCCAAAAACGTGGGTAGAGGCATTCCTCACAAATATGCATAAACCCCTTGTATCATGAGATTTCTCCGAGAGCTGTAGATTATTCCCATCACTAGTAATAGGTTCAGAGCAATTGCTGCTATCCAAAGCTCACTTACATCAGCTGGGAAATAACTGTTACTTTGAAAATCCGCAGTGATCAGCTTTTGATTGAGTTGCTGCTTCAAGAAAAAGCAGTAGGGGAGACAATGAAAACAATTATAGATAGCAATGAGACCACTTGCTACTGTATCTACCTTCATAATTCAATTTAAACATTCCATTAGCTAGCAGGATAGCAAAATGGTTTGGGGTTTTTTGTCATAAATGCTGTAGATAATATTGCTTTTTTTCCCTTCCGAATTAATGCATTAGCTTTCAGAGCTTGAGGACATCCTCAGAGTGCTTGTCTCACTTACAGGTTGAAGCCTTTTAATAAGGTAAAAGGACACAATGGTGGATAGGCTATCAGCAGGGATAAGCTTAACAGTGAGTTTACCTGTTAAAACCCACAAAGGCTTCAAAATGTGCATTACTGTGCAGATGGGATTCACTCACCCACATTTGTCACATCTTAGTTCTTGGTATGCTGTAGCCTGTCACATCAGGTGTCTCATTTGGTCTCTCCTTTCAAGCCAGTGAAGGAAAGGCTCTTCCACAAGTCAGATCTCCCCATCCTGAGATTCATGTCAAGGATGGTGGTAAGCCCAGTGACATCATAGATGACCCTTCACCGCTGAGCTGATGGCAATCTGTTGCCCAGCGTTTTGTCAACATTGGGTGCAAAGTCCTGTTTGAACCAGTGCTAGCTGGAAGAGTGTCAGACTACTCTTAAAACATGACCCCTTTTCCTGCCTGCCTCTAGACAAGGTATAAATTTATCTGGTCTGAGAGGTTATAAATCATGCTTTGAGGGGCCAGGAGAAAGGAATGTGTTATTATGAGGAATTAGTACTCCATGTTTGCATTTCATTAGCGCTCAGAGGCCCCAGTCAAGATCATGATCTGGGGAGATGTAACACAAAGGGTGGGTGCAACAGTGAGAAGCAGGAAAGAGCTTGAGTTTTGGAAAAGGTCACAGGAGAGGAGGGCTTTTCCTGGCCCATCAGAGCGGGGCACGCCATGCAAGCAAGGCATCATGGAAGAAAGAGAAAGAAACTGGCATTCTGGTGATTAATGGCAAAGGAGGGAAGGGGTATGAGAGACATTAGTTTTACAAGCATATGGGATTTTGATGGAGTAAAAGCAGAAACTTAAATATCCCAGTCACTAACTCATGTCTTATTGAAACAAGATAGCTAAAGCCACTTAGAAAATGGTGCCAGCCAAGGTGGCCCATTCCCCCCAGTGCTGAGTGCTAAAAATGGAGTTTTACTTGGAAGATAATGGGAAACACATGAAAATCAAATGTGACAGGACTACTTTATCCTTATTCTCAGAAAGAAGAATTTGAGATGTGTAAGTGGTATTTTTTGATAGCCAAAAACATGTTTTCTTTGGATTAGATGTGTGCAGCAAATGGCAGAATGTTACGCATAGCCTACTATAAACATGCCCCTTGGGTGCCTTCATGTTAGAAAAGGCTTTGAATAGCAGACAACTTTTGTGTAGTTGTTTGCAACTTTATAGTCAACTCCAGTGGAATCAGTCAGTAGATAAAAGCACTGTTCCACCTCAGGGTAGAAGCTATCTTTCAGAAACAAAAATATTGGGATTTGTTCAGCACATGTAATAAAATTTCTTACTTCTGTATGTCTAGAGGTAGCTAAACAAAAAACATGCAGTAATCTTCCCCAATTTTTACAGATGGCACTCACTTCAGTTACTTTTAGCCATTTAAAAATTAGGAGCATATTCTCAAGAGCTTAAGTTTGCTCTGCAGTCAATGTAGGGAGACAGACACCATCAGAGGGGCTGTTTATCCCACCCTTTGTGGGGATAAGTTGAGCTGCTTTCTGTGAGTGGTGGAGAGCACCTTACAACTAAACAATTCAGTTTTAGGCAGATAAAATCAAGTGAAATGAATAACTTGCCAGAGGTCACATAGCCCACCAGTGGCATGGTTCCTGAGCTGAGTACTGGCTGGTGTCCAGGCTTCAAGCATGCCTACCCTGTTCTAACAGAATTTAGAGCAAAACTTATCCAAACTAGGGGCCAACCAGAGATTCTAGTTCAGGTCTGCAGCTGCAGCTTAGCAGCATTGGTGGCCCAAAACTGTTAATACTTCATGCAGATGAGCCCATCTGCAGGAGTTGCTAGGTTGGCCTCCAGATCAAAGACTCCACAAGGATGGCAATTGTATACACACAGGAAGGGATGATGCCTCCAGCTCCCCCATCCTCTTCTATCCTAACAGGGTCGAACCAAAGCAGCCACAGCTCTTGTTTAGGAGAAGGGGAAGAGGCATTCAGCTGGTCACCCTCTTCGCTGGGAGGAGGACAGTGGCTGGACCGAGGGGTTCCATCCCAAGGGACTGAATCAGCATGGGGCCACAGGTTAAGGTTCACTGAAAAACACCTACTTTGAGGCAATTCCAGGAAGAAACCTTGTCCCGGAACTCATTTTATTGCACACGGTATCAGTAGTTTGTAATGACACTTGCACCCCAAAATCACTTGAATGCAATTAATGCAATATAAGTAATTGCACGTAAATGACACATTTTTAGTGAAATGCCCATGAGTGTTGCAGAAATTTAAGGTCACTTGATAGACAGGGCTAGTGAAATCCCCCCTTCCTCCCAGGCTGTGTGTGATGTAGCGTACCTCTGAGGTATCCATGTAAACTCCACTCCCTGTGCTGATCAACAAAATACAGGGTCAGGTAATTAGTGCTTGTGATACTAGCAGATAGAGAGCTCAGAACTTGCCAGATCCTCTTTGGCCTTACTTCTTCCCTCACATACAAATATGCTTACCAGTCTAGAAGTATAACTAAGCCATTCTGATCCATATTTTCACTCTTATCTTTTCCAGCCACTTCCACCTCTACAACTGGAACAAGTCATCTCACGAAATGTGACATAAAGCAGAAAGCCTTCTGTGTAAATGGGGGAGAGTGTTACATGGTTAAAGACCTTCCAAACCCCCCAAGATACCTGTGCAGGTAAGAAATCCTATTTGATTATTTTGGTGGAGCCACCAAGTTCCAGAAATGCTTTTTCTTTAAAGGAGCACATGAACAATTGCTTTTCCTGTACTTGCGGCATTAGGTACTTCTTAATTTTTAAGTATGTGGATGTGAAAATAACTTGCCAAGAATGACCTCTGTGTTCTATATATGAGGCATAACAGAGGCTAACCAGGAAATCTTCCTATATGACATTGGCATAGCAAGTCCCATTGATGTTTGGCAGGAAGTAGCACAACTTGAGGCTTATTTTAGAAATAATTAAACACATACAATGCAAATAGCGAAAAAAGGTGTGTGTATAACTGCATTGGGTAAGTAACCTTGTTACAGGACAAACTGGTTATTTTTATTGTCTGCTGTAGTAACTGAATGTTTTCTGATGAGACCAGATTCACAACTGGAGTTTTTGCTATTGCGTTTAATTGCATAAAAAACGGTGAATGTCATGTTAATTGGTGGAGGTTTCTATTTCATGTGAGGATCTTGGTTCAGGAAGTTGTATGAATTTAGTTTTAACGGTGTGCTTGTGCACCTTTCTCAGGTCTTGGCCTGTGTTCTATCGGGCTGTTGCAATAGTCCATTATGTTGGAGAAGACTGGAGTTCACCTCCTGGCTGGTTAACACATCATGTAGCATTTGTCTCTGGAGCTGAACTAGTCCTAGTGAGTTATGGCTCTTCTCTGGCTTGAGAGGGAACTCAGGATTTAAACCATGGGAAACGTGATTGAACCTAGCAGGACTGAGCAGAAAGCAAGCACTTTTACTAAGGATATTACTGTTTTTCAGACAGACAGGAGACAGTGGTCAATAAAGACTGCCATCTGCTTTACCTGCAAAAATTTTCAGTCTGCTATGACTAAAAATCAGACTACACTTATTGTAGAAATGACTGTGGTGGGTGAGTTAGGTGAAGGTCTGTGATGCTTTCATTAGGCCAGGAAGACATTGACTGTTTGTTTCTGTTGTTAATTTTGAAAAAACAAACAAACAAAAAAACCAACAAAAAAACCCTCTAAAACAACACCCAAAAAACCCACGGACAGCAAATCCCACAATGTTCTGCTTTCCCTGTGAGTTTTCTTTTTTTTTTTTGTAGGAGGATGTTACCTGCACTTTATGAGCTTTGGTTTGCTTTGATTTTTCACAGATTGCTCTTTTGCTGAAAGTAATGAATATTTCATTGATTTTAGAATCATTTTTAGCTAAAGTGAGTATGGAAAAATTACTGGCTCTGGTGAATTGGATTCGTTTTTGAGAAAGAGAAGGAAAGATTTGTGTTAAATTTACATGATCATTATAAGCCAACAGTACAAGATGAGCAGTTTGCTAAGATTCTCCAGGGCATGTACGAGAACGTACCTGCCTGTTTCAACTTCCTATCCAAACATTGCTCAGAAAACTCCAGGGCAGCAGAGCTGAGCATCTTTCAGTCCTGCTAATAATTAGAATTGTCTTGACAGTTTCAGAGGTATCCCATTTTCATTGGCACTGGGACTTTAAAAAAAAAATAAAAAAATCAGTGTGTTTCTTTGATTTTATAGATTAGGTAATTTTTAATTAAAAGTCTCAGAGACACTTGAATGGAGTGGGTTGTGGGGTTTTTTCCCCACTTGTAGACAAGAAATAACCTTTAATTCTTCACTTGAATTGGAAGAAAAGGAAATTCCCACATTTGGCAGATGTGCTTCTCTCTGGGTGGCCCAAGACCTATTTGGAAAAAGCATCAGAGCTGTAAAATCAGAGAGGGTGAATCTCATTTACGGTAAGGCAATGGAAAAGGATTCTTATCCTGAGGACAGGCAGGGCCACTACTATTTTGCAGGGCTTTTTGTTATGCCCTCCAATAGTTGCCAGAACTGAAACTTTATGTCATATAGTGAAACAGGATGCAATACATCCACATAAAGAAATAGAAGTGTGAGTACTTGAAAGTGGGTGTACTAAGCAACTAAAGAGACAAAATATGATTCTCTTCTTATTTCATTAAAAATACAGATGTCTACTTTTAATTCTACTGTTCCAGTGTTAATTGAACTAAATACCTAACCAGTACACATTGCCTTCATTGTTCTGAGAAAATAAATCTTCCCCCAGAACATGCCTGTGGAAACAGAATGCTTGAAATATGGTACTTGCTCTTCATATTTCTGCCTCAGTAGCAAGTTCACATTTTTCCATATGGTCCATCTGTTGAGACAAAAACAAAATTTCTAAAGCATGAGCCATATAATTCTAAATTGGTTTTATCCCTAACCAAAAAAACATTACTCAGATTCACAACAAGCATGGAATTTTCCAAGTGATATCTCTGGTTTTGTAAACCCCCTATTCTATTAAAGAAAAAAGGAGTTCCTAAATCCATCTTCTGATAAAATCTAGCTATGTATTTAAAAAAAAAAAAAAAAAAGTGCTTTGTAAAATTCATAGTATAATGATCCAGACTGCATCAGATCTTGTTCTCACAGATACTGGTGTGAACTTCGAGAAAATTTCCTGCTTTCAAGAGGTAACCATGTGAAGTACTCAAGAAATGTGTGAAGACTTAGTAATGCATCGTGCGGCTGCATCTATGGTAGCATGTATGTTCCGTACATGTCTTATAGTTATGGCTCCAGACTGAACAAATTCTCAAAATACTAAAGATGAAAAAGGAAGCTTTGAGACTACTTAAACTAGTATATAAAATTTTCAGTAGTTTCATAGGAGCATGAGTCACGTTTTGAAAACCTAGATTTTGGAAGCCTGGACCTTACTGGCTTCTTACAAGGCTGTCATTCCTAAGTCATTTCTGTTCAGTTGGAAAAGGGTCCCCAAGATCACTTAAGACAAAAAATCAGATAGCTTCTTCAATAAACACAAAGTTAAGACCAGAATTCCTAGTATTTGTTTCTTACTTGAAGAAAAATCTATATGAATATAGTATCTGTTACGCTTTTAGAGTGTTCTTTTGAAGTATCCTACCATGAAGGCCTTGCTGGTCTGACTAATTGATTCCTTACTCACAGATATCATCTTTTGTAGCGCCTTTGTTGTTACTGAGGAAATGAGTTTACGTCAGAGTTTAACTGAAAGAAAATAGCGCTTCTTTCTAACAGAAGGATGCTGCTTCTTAACAGCAAAAGAGTGAATTACGTGCTTTTAAATGATATAGCCATTTTCTATATCCATTTTCATGTAAGGGTCCTGATGGAGTAGAAATTGACAGAAGGTTCCTGAAAACAGCAAAAGGAGAAAATTTGTTTCCATGATGACATGATGACAGTAAAAGTTCCAGAGATATCCATTCAATGGGAAGGATAGAAATACTAGTTCTGACTTAGGCTATGAAATGGACTACTAAATATGGAAGCATACTGCACTTCCCCTGAAAAAAAACATTCTTCCACAATGAATTTGCTTATAGGCAGTGCATGAAATGAAAATGTGAGGTCCTGATCCATTCAGCCACTCCTCTCGTGCTAAAAAACAGTTTGATGTTAATACTCTTGATGTTCTGAGAAGAGCCTTCTGAAACAGCAAATACTGCTGTTTGCAACTACTGTGTGTAGAGGAAAAAAGCAATTATTTTAGTATATGTGGTTTAGTATTGTGGTTTCAGCAGTAAATACAATAAATAAATAGTCCAAGTAACCTTTTCTTAGGCAAAAAGGAGATTATAAAGCTCTTGCAGCATAAATGTCTACTTGTTGCCCAGAGTTGCTTGACTCTACCTTTTACTAGTGTTATAAAAGAAAACGGTACATGGGTAATAACTAGAGATACAACAAGAAATACGTTCTCAAAACCTTGAGTAGGGCAAGGTGTTTTGAAAACAACACCATCTCAATCTGTTTGTAAAAGCACAGCCTAGAGTAAACAACCTGCCAAACAGCACTGGAAACAGTGCTGCGCTGCATATCTGAGCAATAAAATTCCTTCAGCACTCACACAGCAGGCAGGCTCAGCTCAGCTCTCGTCGTGGCTGGCTCACCCTGGATCACTTCTCAGCCACAGGCCCTGCAGTCCGTTTGCTGACAGTGGTTTCAGAGCGAGTATAAACACACCTGAACTGTTTCCAGCGCCGTCTCCACAGGGATGACTGCTCGCTACGGAAGCAATTTCAGCATTGTCTACACCAGTGGGCTGCAGGTTTTTTTCGGCACCTCCACAGCTGCACCAGCATCTGAAAACAAGCACAGATGGAGTAAGAAACCACCTCTGGCCAGTGGCAGGAGCAAAACCTGAGGCTTTTAATCAGCAGTATGTTCATTGGGATTGTGTAGGGTTGAGCCTGACAAACAAGATGTAGAGGTCCCTGTGAAGTGACAGCCAATGCAGATGTGAATACCAGCTTTCCAGGGATGGGTATTTAACAAGATCACTATAGTGCAAAATAAAGCTGAAATCAGGAGGATAAAACATTTTTACTCTCATTCAGTAACACAGATCAAAATGCTTTGATTTTGCCTTCTATCAAAGACACAAGAAGTCTTCTATCACGGAATCACAGAATTGTCAGAGTTGGAAGGGACCTCTAGAGATCATCTAGTCCAACTCCCCTGCCAAAGTAGGGTTGCCCAGAGCACGCTACTCAGGACTGCATCCAGGTGGGTCCTGAAAATCTCCAGAGAAGGGGACTCCACAAACTCCCTGGGCAGCCTGTTCAGGGCTCTGTTACCCTCACTGTAAAGAAGTTTTCACCCAGCAATATCGTCTTTTCGTGACAGAGTTATCTTTGTTCCATTTTTCTCAACTGAATATATCTGCAGAGACAGATCTCTCCAGGCTGGGTACTTAACCAAAGATGTGACCTTGGCTCTGATGAGCATAAACTCCCTTCCTTAACAATCAAGTAAGTCATTACAGCAAATCAGTTCCAAACATGTCCTCAAAATATACCTTAATTATACAAAATCATTCCTGTGTCGTTTATTTAAACAAGGTACTAGTGTTTATGCCTCACGCTGGTCCTCTGCCAAAGTGATTTTCTGGACATCCCACTTGTACAAGAGTAGCATCACTGATCCTTAGGGCTAGAGGTAATTGTGGAACACTGGAATTTGAAAAATCAGGACAGCTGGATAGAAGAGGTGGAGAACTGTTCTGAACAACGTGCATTTGCAAATAATAACGCTCTTCGGCACCTGACAAGTAAATGATGAAATCATTTGAAGGAAAGTCATGAAGGAAAAGTAGTCTAGCATCTGATTGGCAGCAGGAGAAAAAGAGCAGAGGATTCTTGCAGCATTGCAAACTCATGGAGAGCATCAGAGAGACAGGCAATGCAAGTGAGATGTATTCAAGGAAGCAAATATCAGGTAATTTCAGGTTATAAGCTGGGTAGGTGTGGGTAAAAGAAGGAGGAAGAAAGAAGATTGACATCTATAGCAGTTTTGTGTGGTGGACAGTCATTCATTATGTCTGAAGCACAGGAGCCTGTACTTCTATGGTGATATTTTGGGAGCCTGAGCTCTGCCCCAAAATGGAGGATAAAGTTGAAGGAAGAACTGACAGCCAGCAGCAGAAGAAAAGACAGGCAAAGAACAGAAGAGAAATTCCTTCACTATGACCAAGGAGTAATCTGCACTGAAGTTGTCCACAGAAGAGCTTATGAACTGAAAGGGCAGACAGCTGTGGGGCTTCAAATTTTGAGACCACTTCAGTTCTCTCATCTTATTTATTGACTGGACTGACTATTTTCCATTTGTCAGCCACGTTGAATGTACTTCCTGCCTTTGTGTTTAAGTTTGTCTTCTCCCATTTTTGGATTTTTTTGGCTTTTCTGTGATTGCTGTTGTAACCATTCCCCTTCAAAGGAAATTACTGGAAGACACAACATGTGATTACAGAAATAGGGAAATCATGATATTTTCATAGATTTTATGTGATTGGTGAAAGCAACAGTGTAAATTGCTGTTGCGCACTGCATTGCAAATTTTAAAAAACGCAATCTGGTCCCTTCATGAGGTAGAATAAACAATGAGCTGATGGACATTTTTGCTAGCCCTGATTCTTCTTTCTTTTTCAAAACAGACAAGCAAAAAGACTTTCTAGATTTTTTTCCTCTGGTGGATTTTTGCTGTAAATTTTGCAAAGTGTTATCTTCTGGAAAGGTTACACTTTCTCGGACCTTTTCCTGATCATTTTTCACTAACACCTAACCAGGAGGTCATTTAATGCACTCCCATCTCCATAGGCCAGCAGATGTCAGTCTGTTAGTGCAGCGGTTTTGGTGTACTATTGCTTATCACGTTTTTGCCCTTTAGGTGCCAACCTGGATTCACTGGAGCAAGATGTACTGAAACTCTGCCCATGAAAATCCAAAACCAAGAAAGTATGTTAAAATAATCTGAACTTTGCTTTCTTCCCCAACTACAGCAACAAAATCAATAGTACTTGGTGTTTTCACAGTTCAGCTGGAACTGGCCTCTTTACACACTAATTTATGACCTGATTCATTAAAGTAAAATCTGTACACCATGGCATTATTGACCTCCAAAATGTTCTCATTTGCGTGATTTTTGATCTTTCCATCCATTTGCAGATGCATTTGTATTGCACACATTGGCAGCTTTCTTGTTTGGGAGACTGCTGTAAAGTGCAACCCTAAAAAAGCAAACTTACGAAGATGAGTGATATACAGATCTTGTGTCCTCGCTGCCTTGTGGAAAGTGCATCCTAAAAGCAATTTGGGCATTTGGAATGGTGAATTTCTGTCTCACATCTCGAAACACACTTTGATCTGGATTGGTTTGGTTTTGGCTGGTTTTTCAAGGGGGGGGTGGTATTTCATTTCCACAGAGCAAATGAGTTGCTCTCAACACATTGAGCCATTTTGACACACTAAACTGAGATTCAGTTTCTGAAAGTGAACTCACCAAGTCTTATCAGTTCACACTGAAGGAGCTTCTTTCTTAGCATATATTCACCTCTTCTCTTTTCTCTGTTTTTTCTCTACCATTTTTTTTTGTTTGTTTTTCCTCTCAGGTGCCCAAATGAATTTACTGGTGATCGCTGCCAAAACTACGTAATGGCCAGCTTCTACAGTACGTCCACTACCTTTCTGTCTGTGCCGCAGTAGAAGCATGCTCAGTCAGTGCTGCTTTCTTGTCGCTGCATCTTTCCTCCAGTTTTTTTTTTTTAATCTGTAACTAGATTTGTTGCCTAAGGCCTAATATTGATTGTCTCTGCCTTTTGCATGAAAATGATAACAAAAAGCAATTGCAATACTCTCCTGGATTGTTTGGCATTGAGGTTATGCGGAAATGCAAGACTTAGGAATGCTGTGAAATTAACACTGAATGGTGTGATACGGACTCCCCACTGACATGAAGCAGTAAAAGTGCAAAAATGATATTTTCAAAGTCTCATATTTTATTTGCCACAAAAAGCTTATGAGCCTCTCTACAGGGCAGTACTCCCCCAACAAAGGGACAGGTAGCTAATCCTCTGCTTGCATATGAGATTTGTATTTGGACCTACAAGTTAAAGGTAATTGACATCGTTCCTAATGAGCATATGCCAAATAGGATCAAAGTGCTCTTCCTCCTCATTGTCCAACTTACAGAAGAAAGAGCACAGAAAGAAAAAGAAGGGGGGGATAGAAAGCATAAAGAATGGGCTCTGACATATTTATTTGTGGATAACAGGTGCAAGGGATCAAGTATTACAGAGCCAGATTAATTGGCCAAAGAAATGTACCACACACATGCGCACACACATGCACACAGAGAAGACTCTATGTCAGACTGCTGGTAGAATCAGCACTGCAGTCACATATCTCATAAGCTTTCCCATGGAGGGACGGGTTAATTATTATTACTTGTCAGGGAGGAAACAGAAAGTACACTGAATATTTATTTTCTCTCATTGGTTATAACAAAGTCAAAGGTAACATATAAGAAAATTGCTTAGATCTTACATTTTAATGCATGTGTACTCTTCATAATTAATTGTCGCTGGCATCAGAATGTACTATGATCTAAGAGCAGTATTATAGGACCTATTTTTTTGATGGATTACTTGCCAGCACAGAAAGATTTCAGAGACTATAGGCTAGCTTAATTTAATTTCCATTAGTATACAGGACAAAAAGCTGTTAGCATGTGCTGGACATTTTGGAGCCTGAAGAGATGCATAGGTTCTCTTTTATACTGATGGTTGAAAAATGTCCATACATAATTCATACTACCCATCATGGAAGCTGCCCATGTAAATCCCAAGAGTGTTGACTGGAGACCGGACCTTCCAGCATTCAAGTGTGTATTTTATGCCCTTTTTTAAAAGCTTTATTAGCGTGAGTTATTTTTAAAATGCCTCTGGTTACTATGGATTTGAAAATTTTTTTGCTGTTACAGTGTTTAAGTTTACCAATTGTTAGATTTAAATGGCCTTTTATGTGTATTGTGGTAAAAAGTGCAATTAAGGCTTTCATATCTTAGATGAATCATTTAACAAGAGGTGGTGTAAAGATATAAGATCCATTTTTTGCTGCTGATTTCACCCTGAAAACTATGGAAGAATTGTATGTTGATGAGAAATTCATTTCACTACCCATTAAAAAAAAAAAAAAAAAAAAAAAAAAAAGGTTTAGGGGGGTTTTCCTTCATTAGTTTTTCAGTTTCCTAACTCTGGTTGGGATTTTTAAAGTAATCTTTGGGTGGTAGACACCAGGCTGAGATTTTCTGAAGTTGCCTCCGTGGAAAAGGAGTAGATTCCCCTGCCTTACTGCAAGAGCTATGGTAAACTGCAAGTACCTAAGCTGGTCCAGCCCTCCTCTCCTTGAAAAGCACTGGCAGGAGAGTGTAATACTACCTACCTCAGGCTACTCTGAGAGCCCCAGGCAACAGCTATGAGATTCTGGCAGTTTTGCCTACCCTGCATCTGCAGTATAATATCAGGTTTATTAAACTGCTACAAATCTTAAAATAACATTTTTGGAAAGGGTCCAGTGAGGGTACATTTATATTTAAAAAAAAAAAAATCAATGAAGAAGCATTTGTATGACTTTTTATTATTACGCACAGTGCAGACCGGAGCATACAATTAAAAAGGGGACTTAGAATGAGAGTTGTCTTCAATGTTGCAAATTTGCAAAGGCAAATGTTGCGTTTGGGGCTTCAAGTCAAGCTTATATTTTGCACCTAGAGTGCAGATGACTAACTTAGCTCTGTAAATACTGCTTCTGTAAAATACAGAGCAAATTGGGATGTTAAATGGCATAAATGCCAGTAGGAAACAAAAGTGTACATGTGAACTATGCAGTGCTATCTAATTTTATGTGCTTTCAGAAAGGTCCTTCTTCATTTGGAAGGAAAGTGTTGATGGGGTTCCGCACCAAGTTTGCATACTGTTGAGCTGTTACTGTCTGATGGCTCTGTATTTGGCTGTAGAGAAAAAGCCTCAGAAATCTGCCCTGGAGTTGGTATTTTTAAGAGTCCTGAAGTTACAAGCTTTGCTGAGGGCCTTTTGCAAGATCAAAACAAGGCCAATGCTAAGCATTCTGGAAATCTCCTGTCCCAACAGAAGGCAGGACTAACTGGCTTATCTTGACAGTGGTTTGGTTAGCCCTGGAGGATTCACTTATCATGGTGCACTAGAAATGTGTTGAAAACGGACACAGGAAATTAGGTGGCTCTCCATTTTAAGAAAGTTCTTCCATAGAAATGCCTTTCCTTTCTGTCAGTGGAAATGTGAGCATAACTGGGAAGGGATGTGAGGAAGACTACTGGAAAGCACATGTTTAGGCTGACTGTCCCTTGGCTTCCAGCTTTGCAAACACTCCAAACCACAGGATGACTTGCTGTGACTGAGAAGTGACAGCTCTTAGATTCTCTACTGCCACAGTTACCTCCAGCAGGAAGGAAGACTAGACTGTGCTAGTTTTGCTCGTCTCCAGAGTCTGGCTGGCAGACGCTGTAATGTCCTTCCCTTGAGCACAGCTGCTACCAGGTGTATTCCCCAATACCCTTGGATGCGGCAGCAGTTTTGACTTTGAGGGTCGTGGTCCACCATTGATCCATAAGACACCAGAAAGTGGTCCAAAAAAGTATTGCAAAAGTACATGCAAATGTATTTTCTGTATTTGAATGTTCACACATTCACTCCCTTAAAGGCAAGGAAGCAAAGCAAATGGAGGAAAACAAATGTAATGAATTACATTTAAAGTTTGAGCTATTTTTTTGTAGCTATGCATGAGAACTCTTATAGCAACACTGTGCAGAATGATCCTTGGGTTAAGAAACACTGGTGGAGCCTTGATTTAATGGGAGGTTGAGAAAACTTCTCTAGACCATATCAGAGGTAAAATCTTTGTCCTCCCAGATACCCCAGATGGGCCGAGGGCCCCATCCAAATGGCCAATTGACTTGCTTACTTCACTAGTTAACAGTTACATATATGTTGTAAATATAGAACAACTTGTGGGGCATGAGCCATCTCGGTCATGAATTGAATGTGGTCCCTGCCTTCCTGAAGGCAAGTATTTCAGCATGGGACACCAGTTTAAACTGTGACCATTTCAGCTCTGCCATCCTTGGTGAGCAAGAGGGACAAAAGGAAATTTCTGTTTTGATGACAGGCCTTGTCTCATACTGTCAAGATGAGACTGGTCAAGAAGTTAAAGGAGGCAGGAGTTGAGTAAAGCTGTGATATTCCTGAGGGATCACCAGAAGTGCTGTTGCTCTGTAATGACCTCAATTTTTCAGTCTTTCCACATAAACTACGGATCTTCAAAAGTCAATTTTTCAGCAATTCCATTAGCTCAGTATTTCTGTGTATATTCTGTATATTTCTTAAGTGCTCACATTTGTATGATGGTACTAGACAATCTTACCTGAAATTTTCATTTTCTGAAGCCATTCAGCACCCTAAATGTTCACTCTTTATGTGCTGAGATCAAGATCCAAAATTATATGAACAAATTTGAAAAATGTCATTTTCCATCTTCTGCTCAAGGCCAAATAAGACACTTTTTCACTATAAACTGCTCACTTAATGCTCATTAAATGCTAAAATTGCTATGACAGAATACTGTAATTAAGAAAGGACAATTCTATACTCTGAAACTCGAATCAGTTGTAGGGTAACACTTTTACAGGAGCCATAGGATATAACATACAAGTTCAAAATTGATTTTGGAGCCTGAGTACCACTGAAATGAACCAAGATTTAGAATCCAAAGTGGATCCTAAGCCTCACAAAGAGACACTGCATCCCAGCCCCTGAAGCAAAGTTGGCCAGCAGGTGTTCCTCTGTGATAGTTTGGGAATTTTAGTTTGTTTTCAATGCAGATTACATGAAAAAGAAACTTTTTTAGAATTTCTCATTACCCACAGAACACATTTAATAAGAAAACTAAGCAATAGCTTAAGAAACATGGCACCTTTATACATCAGAGGTGAAATTGGTCTCCCTGGACTTCTCTGCTGCTGCATGCAGTTGATCCAAATGAGTCCGTCCTTTGTCAGGTGTGAGGTTGTCACACAAACCTATAACTGTGCTCACCCCTCACTGGGCATGTCCCCAAGCTACCCAACCCACCCCACTCTATAGAGTAGCCACCCAAAATCTTGGGTGCCCAGCAGCCATGGCACCACTCACAAACACAGCACACTGTCCTGGAGGACCTGTTCCAGCATTTCCAGGCATTATACCCTTGTTCTGTAGACGTGCTACAATATATCCAATGAGTTGTAGTGGTAGGCCACTTTTTTGAAAAAAAACACCTGCTTCCCAAACATTTTATCTTCCAATACTGCCACCACAAAAATCACATCCAGAATGAAAACTGAGTTATTCAAATTAATTGTATTTCTTCTTAGAGCACCGGGGCAAATATTCAATAGAAACCGCATTGTATGTAAAAAGTATGCAACACTATTGGGTTACATAGGAAAAGATCAAAAATAATGACCTGCTTATAGAATGAGAAGTGTTTGGATATTCTACTTGCTTTTAATCAGGTCTAGGGAATGTAGCTAGGAATACCAAAGATAAATAAGAGCTACATGGCATCTAGGTTTGGATAAGCAATGCATGTTTCTTC